AAAAAAAAAAACCGGAGGAAAAAAAAAAAAAAAACGGTAACCTGGTTGCCGAGTTCACGAAGTGAATTGGCTTGTTTTACAACGTCGTTGCCAAGCGACGAAAACCCAACCCCGATGGCAAACACCGGAAGAGGGGGGGGGCTTGTTTTACAACGTCGTTGCCAACCGACGAAAACCCAACCCCGACGGCAAACACCGGAGGACGGGGGGAGGAGAAGGGCGGGATGAAATCCCAAAGTGGGAATCCGATGCGTCCGACTACAGCGATGCCTTTAGCGACTGGGGATCAGACACGTCGGAGGGCGGGCCGGATGTAGGGTGGGGAGATGCGGGGGGGGTCGAAGGTCCATGGGGGGCGACGGGAGCTGATTGGTTCTGAGGCTTCAAGAATCGCTTTGAGGTATCTGGTTCAGTGTGTATTTACCAACTTCTCGACCATGAAGTGAGGGTTTGGCACGGATTTGCGTGATTGTGGCCCGATTCATCGTATGAGAACGTACTACGGCGTGCAGAACGCCGAAGTAAATCCCACCCAGGTGACCTAGTCCACACTAACCAACCCCCATGCTTACCGCGTGCGCTTTCCAATTTTGCCTTTGCTGCTCGTGCTTGTATGTGTCAAAATGTTGGCAGTGACGACGACAGATTCCTCCGTGCTAAATCGCGTATGGTGGAGAAGGAGGAGACCCTGGAGAATAGGGTATGGGGAGGGTGTGTGCTTGTGTGGGCAAGGGTGGGAACCGCACGAGCTGGGTAGATTGGTGGCCGCCACCGCTAGCCCTCTTTGCTGCGATCCTTGCCTTTGTTTCATTCGTGATAGTTCGGCTCTGGGCTCCTGTCGCGTACAAACATGTGTGTGTGTGTGTGCAGTTATTTTGTGTACTCCCTTGTGGTCAAGAACCTGCTGTCAAATTCGACCATATTCACCAGCGTGTGTGACGTGCTGAGTCAGTTTAGTATTTTTATTACTCTTTGTCAATTTGAGGTCAGCCGCCGACTGATGTAATGATTTGACTGTATTTGCCATCGCCCCGACGTTAGGAGCAGTATTGCTTGTAGATAATGTGGAATATTGCCCGACCCAATTCAAGAACAAGCGTTGGACAAAATATGGCCTTCCTTCTATCGGGAACGTCGTATGTGTACTTAGCCGGCGGTGGAAGTCTCGTTCCACCTTATCCTTTTCATACGTACGTCATGCTCTCCGTGGACAGCACGGGAACTCGCCCTGCCGCACTGTTATGCGAAAAAATGCGTGCGCCCTGGCGACAATATGCCCACAAACAAACTTGGAAGGAAACTTCTGCAGTGTAGTATAAACTGTTCTTTTCAGGGTATCTAGGATTGATCACGGACGGGTTCCTTTGTCCCTAGGGATCAGATATCACTTTTCGAGAGTGTTTTTCTTGTCTCTTTTTTGAATCAGAACGGGGTCGAAAAAAATGATGATCGCGAAAGAGAGAAGAGAGGAAACGAGCTCTCTTTTTGGTTGACCCGCAGTTTCGCGGTGCAACATTATCGTACCAGGTGGGTTCCATTTCAAATATTGGTGCGCGCCGATTACACGTACTTGACCTATGCAGCATGATACAACCTAATTCAAAGTGCTATACATCCCGCAAAAGAGACAGCTACAATGCGAGACATCCTGCAGTAAACAGACTTGAGACACCTAAGCATGACGCCACCGCGTGAATGCCATTTTTCAGCTAAAGCTGTCCTCCCCAACGCCTACGCGCAAAAATCACTACAAGAGTTTTTCATCTTGCTCTCTACCCAACAGTTCGCATTCGTGCCAAGTTTCGTGCCATTTGGCAACGTATACAGCGCGTTCTCGTAATCACCAGGGATGTGCCGTCGGCTCGCTCGAGGTTCCGCCGCGTCTTTGAGGGCTCGCATGCTTTTCCATTTTTTTCCAGGCCCACGTGAGGTCTTTCACTGCTGAGTTCTAGCGCTGTGGGGTATGGAATTTCATACTACTTGACCCGTCGCTAGCTATTGGAGACATCAACAGCCATAGTGCTTCATCTTGGAGGGGTGGCTCTGCTGTGTGCGTGTATAGCACCGTAGAGTGCGAATTGGCTCTCACGTACGTCTAACTTTTATTTTTTGCTACGCGCAGCACTGCCTCTCCAACTCCGGGGGCTACGTAGACAGTAGTCTGCCGAGCATCCACCCCACACATGTCGTCTTCTTGTCTCCTGCCGTATGTACGAACCTTTCGATAACAAACGAATGTCTTTTGTCTCCTACTGCTGTATGCACCTGTCGATGACGAAGGGAATGTCTACTCGCGTGTAACCCGGTCCAGTCTCGCCCTCCGTTGCACTGGCGGAGACAGCGGCAGGTTCTGCCATGGCTCCTTTCTCGCTGGGATGTAGGGCGGGTTAGTTGATCGTTGTAGAAGTCTCGCCCTCCTACGCAAAAGATTGTACAATACGAGGGGCGCGGGAGGGGGGGTAAGCACGGGTCTTGACCATGGCTTCTCATTCGCTGGAGGAGGTTGGTTGGTGGTATGGTGTGGGAGTCTCGCCCTCCTACGCGACATATACATTTGAGCATGTTGCACGATACGATGGGGGCGGGGGCGCGCGGGGGGTGTAGTCATATGTCATAGCCATGCATGCCGTGGTCGTTAGACCAATGACCTTACACCCCTGCAACCGCGGAACAGAGCACGCACGCCGGATTTTCACCGGACCAGGCTCGCTAGCACATCACCAAGCGCGATTGGCNGGGGGGGGGGGGGGGGGGGGGGGGGGGGGGGGGGGGTTAGCAGGCTCCCCCGCAAGAGTGCCGGTCGAAAGGAGGACGTTGGCGGTAGGCTCCGCGTTGACGTTCTGTCGGGGTTCATCGCATCCAACGGCTCCAAACACCGCGCAGGAGCGGTCACAGCAAGCAGTATTCTCGCAGCGGACAGAGGAGGTTCAAACACGAAACACGTGTTTCTTTTTTTCATGACTGACTGTTACGTCAGCGCTCACAAGCGAGTGTATCTGCCGCCCGGGGCTCTTAAGACTCAACACAAGACATGTAGGCAGCAAAAAACGGTTTCTCTCTACAACGTGAGCCAACTTTCTCGCGGTCAACGGATAAACAATACAAACTCCCCCCCGCAGCAACAGCGGCTCAAATTTCACCAAAACAAAGAAAATACAGGTTCTACAGCAGCTGCTGAAGGTAAGAATCATAAGCCTCATCGATCAGTGGATCCCACTTCTAACTCAATGTAACACCCTTGTGCTCGACAGGTGTGTTGCATATATATGCATACATACATCTGGTGCGACGAAATAAAAGTACGAAGTAAGAAATAACAAGTCCAGTCTCTCGACCCAATTTCTGAGGTCCTTTGTTTATGGGCCCGTTCTATCTTCTCTCACTCTCAGAAACAGAAGTATACACACTGTAGAAGTATGCATACCACCAGTGTAGGGAAAAAAAGGGAGAAAAAACTATTGTGTAGTCTAGGGAATATTCCTGAGTTGAAGTTCTTGTGTCGGCGAATCTCTCTTGAGCCGGCTGTAACAGAGCGATGGACTCCTTCTTCTACATAGCATACACAAAGTGTCGGCTATTGTTGTAGTTGCGAGCCCGTTGTGTAAAAACACAGCAAAGGGTGGATACTGCCCGTGCGAGGTTAGCCACAGGGGCGGCCCAAAGGATGCTTTAAAGTAATTTTGGTACGCAAGAGCAAAAAAAGCGAGACCGATACAAGAACCCGTGCTGGCGACTGGTTAGCTCTGCGCCTGACCCCCCAAAATGTTGTATGCGCGTGGCACGGCTATTCGGCTTTCTCTGACCAAAACAAAGTTTTTCCCGCTCGTCCGGTTGACGACGCCAAACCTTGATTTGACTTGGTATTACACAGCGAGAGGAGAGCGTGAAATATTGGAAATACTCGATGCCATCAACGAACTGGCTCTTGCGGTTCGGTACACACCTGCGAACAGGACATACGCGTGATATTGTCGGTCAGTTTTTCAATCGGCGGAGTCTATCCCGTGAAACTCTAAAAAATATGGTACTTTCCGGCCAAATTCACAGCGGCGGCGAGGGTGTGGAGCTATTGCGACAATCGCCACCGACCGAAACATAGCTACCGTTCTGACGGAGGTGACAAAATAAACCGCTCCAGAATCCGCTGCGCGAACGTCTCTCAGTACGAATCCTAAGATGGGGTAGTTTCGGGTGATGCACGGGTCCAAAAAAAATATCCCGCTGCTGTCAAGCAAAAAAAATCTGGTGCCCACAACCAGCCGATTTGGTGGCGACGGGCGGATCAAGGGCGCGGAGGCCCACTGCCGTCTACGCAGCGAGAACCTAGGGAGCGCGCTCTGGAGGGAGCACTGCTAGGGGAGAGGATGCGAGGGGGTGGTCTGTCTCGGGTGTGGAAGCGGGGGCGAAGCAGGCGCGACGGTGGAAAAAATTCAACTTGCTGTGTGGGATTCGATTTTTTCATCATCATGCGTTTTTTTCTGCTCATAAAGACTTTGGGCGACATTGCGTGACTCCACCACCGGCGCTGCACTGCAGCTCTTGCCACCGATCCTGTGCCATGAGTAGCAGTGCGTACCCTTCCTTCCTTGCAGTGTCTCTTCAACCCCGTGTGGGATTGGGAACGGTGGTGGCGGCTTCAGTTCTTTTTTTGTACCATGTTGAACAATCAGAGACCCTACCTGCTGCTCATTTCTCGTTGGGGGTGTTTGTTTTCCCGCTCATCTCTGACATTTGTCCCGGGCGCAACGGCTCTGCCGCCGGCGCCACTGCAGCTGTTTTGCTACCGCTCCTGCACCATGAGTAGCAGTGATTGTCTTACTTTCCTCGCAACGCCTCTTCAACCCCATAGATGGGCGGGAAGGGCGGCGGCAGCTCAGTTCTTTTTTTTGTAGCGTGTTGAAAAAATCAGAGACCCTACCTTGCCCTACCTGCTCTTTTCTCATCATCGATCGGTGTTTTTTTTCCGCTCTATCTCTGAAATTTTTTGTGCCCGGGCGCAACGGCTCTGCCGCCGGTGTTAGGGCAGGTCATGCGACCGTTTCGGCGCCATGAGTATCAATGACTGCTCTTATCTCTATGCAATGTCCCTGCGGCCCCACAGCCGGGTAGGTAGGAACGGGGGCGGTTGCAGTAATCCCATGTCGATGTCAACTAAAAAAATAACGAGACACACCACACCCGATGTTCAGTCTCTTCGCTTGGCAAAACTGACGTGGCTGCCAAAAATGCGAGGATTGATTGGTCAGGAAATAACAGTTTCAGAAAAATGGGCTGTTCGAAAGAACCTCCGCGTGACAGAAATTTGGCCCAAAAACAGGGTCAGGCGCATGGCTAACCTGTTCTTGACTCGGCGTCGCGACCACATGCAGTTTAGTCTACGTGCATGCAACAAGTCGAGCTTTGGAAAAAGTCTACAATAGGCCCCGGGGGTGGGGGTGGTATCAGATGCAACTTACAGCAGCACGGTCTTGTACGCATGCGTGGCTTGGCTCGAGAAAACGCACCACCGGTACAACACAAGCACCGGTCGGTGCTGGCGACTCTTCCTCGAGGCGGTTCTCGGTTCTCGTTCTCCTCGCGTTCTTTCGCATTTAACAGCGATAACTGCTGTACCCCCCGTGCATGCTTCTACGCTTTTTCTGCGCGTGACTGCTGTTGTGCAGAGCAAACAGAGGGACTGCCTGGCTGTCTGTTTGGTGTGGGGGAGGGGAACCGCTTTTATCGTGCGATACGAGAAGAAAGATAAAATTGCGACGTCCGGAGGGAGATTCGCTTGCACAACGAGGGGTTAGGAAAGAGACACAAAGGTTCGGAGAGACTTTATTTTCTTTCCGTGAAAAGCCACACATCACCATGGTGGCCGGCATGCTACAAGCAGCAGTTTTGATTATTAAATTATTTTCCTGTTTTTCCTGTTGTGGGTCTCGTGGGTTGTGTTTGCGGATAAACCGCTTGTTGTCACCGCCATCATCTGCTGCCTTTCTGCCTCCAGCGTGTTATGCCCGCGGGAGACCAAGGCACAACATGCCCCCACCCCGCCGGCGCCCGCGCGCATATGGGCGGGCGTTGTGTGTGTGTTGCTTTGCGTGCAAGCTAACCCTTGTCCCTCTCTCGTCTCGACGAAGGCAGCAAGTGGAACCATTGGGCAAAGTGTTTTGTGGCATGTGTGGCAAAGCGTTTTTCTGCTTGAACAACAACAACACACGCGCGAGAATAGAATCGTCATAATAACCGCGCTCGGTGTGCTCATCACTACTCAAGGACCAAGGCCAGGGGCACATCCAGCACGTGCTTACCGCCAGTGTCAGGGGGGGGCTGTTTCCGCTTCTACATTAGTTTGGAGGGCAGACGCTAGTGCTATGTTTACAATATCGATATAGGTTTGCAACAGCAGCAGCAGGCGGCTCATGCGGACGGAGGAGAACAAAACACAAAACACGACGAATCTTGCTCCGCTACGTTATGCAGGTCCTGCACATCCATCTTCTTCACCTTTGAGACGATGACGCTGCAACTGTTGATGGTTCCGGACACGATGCGCGGATTGTAGGGTGAAGGCAGAGTGCAACCAGGAGGAGACTAGGCCAGAGAAAGCTGCGTTCAGCGAGAGCTGTTCCACGTCGTGGTGTGGCAAAAGGTAGCAAGCTTCCAATGGTAAGGTGCCTGGGACGCAGCGCGAGGCTCCCCCCACGTGGTTCAGGGGAAATACCCATCCTTCGGGCCCCCGGGCTGGGTATTGTTGTTGTTGCATGTGTTGTTGTTGTTGTTGTTGTTGTTGTCTTCACATTAAGTAACCGTTCCGATCTCTCTCTTCCCAGTACCTTCGTATGTCCGTACTGATCCAACACTCGACGCAGTCGATTCCCGTGGTCGCAGGCTAACTTACCCTTAAAAGTTACACTCAAATAATATGGCCCCGAGGGGTCCGCAAGTCAATAGAAATCAAAGACAGATATTCTGGAGTCCTCCACTCTCTCTGCGCTCCATGCGAGGTAACAACTGGGACTAGGGATCACCATCACGGGCCGGAGATAATGAGGTACACCCCCTTGGTTCAATCTTGGTGCTTCATAACGCAAGCAGAAACAAGGCCACCTGGCACAGAAACATCAGAAAAAGAAAACAAGACAAAGGGAAGAAAATAAAAGGAAACAGCAGTAAGGAAAGAGAAAATGAAATAAACAGAGCGAGGAAAAAATGCGTATGCGACTGGTCGATCTTGCAGGTTGTACCGGTAGGAGGCGGAGATGGAGATGGCACTTCCCCGAGATCTCGAAGACTTGAAGCTCCTTTGCTCAATAACCAGGGGGGTGCCGGAAGCGACCGATGCGTCGACGCGAAGAAGCCCTCGATGAGATTGTTCCAACACCACAACGCGCTTTTGGTTGTGAAGCTGTCGAGATTTCGATTTTGAAGATTGGTCTGCCGCAGCTATCCCCGCCTCTCACGCACGGCATGTTGTATGCGGACAATAGCTACAGTATACGTCCTATCCGCCACGCTTGCACTACAGTAGTACATAACTCGGAGATCCTTCGGGTGGATTCGGACTTTCAATCCACACCTTCATATTTTCTCCCAGAACTAACTCTGTTCCACTTGTTTTGAGATATGTACTTGTTGTAGGTTGTAGCCTCGCGAAAGAGACATTTGTTGTGAAGAAAAAAATGTACGGAGCGGCTTCGCTGCTCGTCGTGAAAGCCACGCCGCCCCGCAAAAAGCAAAAAGTTGTACTCTTCTAGACTTCACGGACTAAGGCCACTTGTTACGCTGTCTCTTTTTGGGCTGTCCCTTTTCTCAAAAAG